TTGCCTTTGTCCTTTCCAGTAAACAAAGATATCAAAGTAAACAAAGATATCCAACTACAAAGTCTTCTTACCGGTTGCCTTAGTCCTTTCCAGTAAACCAAGCTATCAAAGTATAAGCACAGCATAAAGACAACAGATAGCAACAGAACGTCAGAGAGAGCAAGCCGTGATCTCTAGCTCCCTCTTGTGGTCATTCGCAATATAATCAACCGATCGGAATATAGTCTAAATCAATACAGTGATTTTTGTCTTAAAGCGACAAACATACATTGTTGGTTTATATATCGGCAACCCAACTCATTGGCGGACAGATTCCTAACGGGCGGCACCCGGCAAGCTGGGGTGCATCCGCACTTTGGGAGGAGGGGGGGCAGCGTTTGCGTGCTGAACAAGCAGCCCAGGGAAGGGGCTCTGGGACCACTGACTTCCCCTCCCCCCGTTTCCGCTCCCCAGACCATCAAGGCCAAGTACAAAGGCTCCGAGTACCCCTACCTGCTGCCCAAGTCCCCCCACGTCCCTCCGCAGTTCTCCTTCCTCGTTCCCGGCGCCCAGGTTGCCGATGTCCAGGTGAGAAGAGCCGGGCCAGGCCGGTGGTGGGAAAGGGACGGGGGCTGGGGGCTTTGGAGGGGAACGAGAGAGGGGCTTTGGCCTGCAGGGGGAGGCCCCCAGCCCTAGATTGGGATCCCAGTGGGGAGGGGGTGTCGGGGTCCAATCCCCCTCTCTCCTTTTGACCTGGACAACCTCTCAGGTGCTGCGCTCGGTGGACCGTTGGTCAGCCGGCCTGCACGAATGCTCCATTTACAACGCCTACCTGGACGTCATCAGGACCAGCCAGCATTACCTGTATATCGAGGTAGGAGAAAAAAAAAGGGGGGACTGGCTCCTGGTGGGGGGAAAGGACAGGAAGTGGGGATCCCCTCCACCCCCATTCGGCATTGCCAAGCGGCCCCCTCTGCCCTCTCTCCCCCCCGGCAGAACCAGTTCTTCATCAGCTGCACCGACGGGCGCTCGGTGCTCAACGCCGTCGGCGATGCGGTGGTGCAGCGGATCCTGCTGGCCCACAGGTGGGCTCCGCAAGGGGGGGTGGGGGAAGGAGGGAGGTTGACGCGCCCAGGTCACAGGAGAGGCGCCATATTGGTGGAGGGAGGCCCTTTGTGGAAGTACTTCTTCACCCCCCCCCTTTACAGCCAAACGGGGGGAGGGGGTTTCCTCTTCTAAGCCCCTCCGCCGTGCCCACATTCCTGCTGCCTTTCCCTGGTGGCATCCAGGTGCCCTCCCTGCCAAGGCCACTCCCTCGTGCCCCTCCAGGAGCCCCAGGGAGGCGGCTTGGCTGGGGGACGTGATTCTCTGGCCCCGTTCTGTCCAGAACCTGGGAGAAGTCAATCCGGTGAAGTTAACCCGGTGAGAAGTCAACAGTCCAGTCAACCCAAGAGAAACCCGTGTCAGTCGGCGGTGGCAGAAACCCCAGGAGTCCGGCGGCCCCTTTTTCGGCCGAGACTTTGGAGGGGAAGGCGGGGCGGTTTCGCCAGATGCGGACGCCCCCCAGTGAGGCCAACCGGGGTTCATTGGTGCTTGCAAGCGTCTCACGCAGAGCTGTACCCGCCTAACTAGCCTCTCTTTGCCCCCCCCGGCCCTTATTTCTTATTTATTTATTTATACCCCACCTTTGTTTTTTTGACAAGTAAGTCAAGGTACGGAACGCACCCAACACCTCTTCCTCTTCCTCCTTTCCCCTGTCAGGTGGGTTGGGCTGACAGCTGTTGAGGTAATTCCCCGTTAGGAGAACGAGCGCATACAGGGAGATGTATTTGAGAGGAGTGTTGGAATAGTACACAGATACACTGTAGAGTAAATGTCGGTTTTTACTTCCAGAAAGGTTTAAGCAAAGTCCAAAATAATCAGTCCAAAAGTCATTCGCAGATAAATCAGTCCGTTTTTCAATCCAGGGATAATCCAAATATCAAAGGTCCAGTGTCGAAAAACAGTTCAGTATCAGACTTACATTAAATCCAGGAATATCGGTCAGTTAGAAGAAATGGAGGAACGGCAATACTTTCCAACAGAAGGAAACAGATACTCACTGGGACACACACTCTCTTCTGAGACTAAGACTGAAACAACCCAAGGTTTCTGGCTCCATCTTATGGCCGTTGGAGGAACCACACCCCATTGCATACTCTTGCAGATAGATATAGTACTAAAATGTTGATCCTGGTTTATATATTTCTAACCCAAATACCTGTTAGGTGACTTACTAACAAGAGCAACTGGCCCAAGGTCACCTAGGCAGCTTCCCCTGCCTAAGGCGGGGTCTCTAGCCAGGTGCTTTAACCAGGAGGCCAACCTGGCTTCCGACCTCAACCTGCCAGCCCACCCCACCCCTCCGCCGCCCCCCCACCCCACAGCTTCCACCTCTGAAGGCCGGAGCCGAAAAGAGACGCTCCCAATGGTCTGTCGGTGCCCAGAATGCCACAGCAGCCACGAAGGGGACAGAGGGGACGGGGAGGGGAACACCACCTTCCTCCCTCTGTGGCCTAACATATCTGACCGCTGAGACCGGGGGTGGGGTGGGGGTCTCCCTCACTGCAGTGAGAAGAAGCCCTTCCGGGTGTACGTGCTTCTCCCGCTCCTGCCCGGCTTCGAGGGGGACATCGCGCAGGGGGGCAGCAACTCCATCCAGGCCATTCTTCACTTCACCTACCGGTGAGTTTGGCTGCCCCCGGGGCTCGGGGGACCCCCCCCAAGGCCTGGCTTCCCCCCCCCCCCAAATAAAAATGGCGGCCAGGAGGGGTTCAGACTCCGCTTCCTGCTTTGCAGGACTCTGTGCCGCGGGGAGTCGTCGATCGTCAGCCGCCTCCAGGCAGGCAGTGAGTACCAGGGCGAGGGGGCAGGGTTGACCCGTGAGGAGGAGCAGGGCCTGGGTCTCTGGTGGGAGGCGGGGGAGGGGGCCGAAGAGCTGATGCCCCCCTCCCTCTTCTCTCCAAAGTGGGGGAGGCCTGGAGGAACTACATCTCGTTTTGCGGCCTCCGCACCCACGGGGAGCTGCGGGGCGTCCTTCTGACGGAGCTGGTCTACGTCCACAGCAAGATGCTGATTGCGGACGACCGGCGGGTCATCATCGGTGAGTGGGGGTGGGGGGGTGGGGGGGTGGCGCTTGGGCCCAGCCCCGGGACTGCTTGGCGAGCCCCCCCTCCTGCGCCCCCCCCAAAAGGTTCCGCCAACATCAACGACCGGAGCCTGCTGGGGAAGCGCGACAGCGAACTGGCTGTGCTGGTGGAAGACAGGGAGATGGTGCCCTCCGTGATGGGCGGGCTGGAGTTCGAGGCGGGGAGGTTCGCCCTCAGCCTGCGGCGGGAGTGCTTCAGGTGAGGAGGGAAGCCCCTCCCTCTTTGGAGGGGGAAGGGTGGGGCAGAAGAGAGCCCCGGGGAGGAAGGGGGGGGCCCCGGAAGCTGCAGGGAGGGTCTCCCCTCCAGCTGCCCCTCCCCAGGCAGCCCAGGGCCTGGACGAGGATCGGGGGGGGGGAGGGGAGTCCCACCCTTTCGCATCCCTGTTGCCCTGGCAGGAGCGTCTTGGGCGTCGCTCCGGAGGACGACGCGGACATTCAAGACCCCATCAGCGACCGCTTCTTCCACGACGTCTGGGGGGCCCGAGCTTTAGCCAATACCAGCATTTAC